TTGTATTGTTAGCCAGGCACAAGTGAAAGGACAATATAATAAAAATAATAAATATATATAAATGTATAATGTTATAAGATTTAAGCTATTTGTTCTAAACATTTATGTTTTTGTGTTATAATTTGTGTTCATTCTGGAATGAAAGAGGCATAATTTATACTTATTTCCACATTTTTTTATGGTGGTTGCGAGATCGGTCAAATCTATCAAACCCGTACAGAGATTAATTATTGAAAATAATAGATAAAATATAAGGTTTTTTCTTAAGAAATGTTTGAAAACTATCTGGACATTATAAAGATTTCACATGTGAAATTTCAAAGTTTTCTGATGCATAAAAGTATTTTTAATCTTAAAATTCAAATTACTTTGTGTGACAGATAGGCAATATGTGAAAAGAAAAAAGGCATGAGAGAAACATTGCTTTACAAACCTTACGACTTAATAAAAAAGTATTTTTAATCTTAAAATTAAAATTACTTTGTGTGACAGATAGGAAATACGTGAAAAGAAAGAAAAAGGCATGAGAGAAACATTGCTTTACAAACCTTACAACTTAATAAAAAAAGGTTTTTTGCATATGAAAGCATTATAATGTTTACTGATAATCTCCCAAATTTCATTAATAGTTGCTTACTAATTTAAAAGTTATAGCATGAAAACTATGACAAGCACAAAATGATTACAAGGTTGTCACATTGACTGACCCTTTATTGAAAGAGTTAATAAGAAAGAGGCCCTAACATGTACTCTACAAATGAAGATATTATTCATGAGCAACAACTTCACAAGATGATATAAAGTGTGGACTTGTTTGACAACTATTAGATGACATCAACCAGTTTCACAACTATTTGATGACAAAAATCAGTTTGACAACTATTTGATGACAAAAATCAGTTTCAATCAGAGATATTTAAAATTATCTTCCTTTATATATATATTTTTTTTTTCTCAAATTAAACAAAATTCTTTAACAGCATTTCCTTGAGCAACAAAAAATAGTTTACAAAACTAATATTATATTTTTTATTATGTACCCTAATAATGTATGACTCTGCAGCTTTCAATAGAAATATTTTCTTATGTGAAAAGCTACATTATACCAAATATTGTTCTGACAAGAAAGATAAAACTTTACTGAGTTGATATTCTTTGTATCAAGCTATTCTTCTAACAAGTGCTAACTCAAGTAGATAAATTATTTCACCTGTTTTTTTTGGCTGCTTAGGAGCTGTATACATCAAAGACTGGCTATCATGATGTTGGGGAGCATCATCAGAAAACATATTGGCCAGCTTAGATCTAACAAAAACAGTTCAAGTTCTTAATTAATTTACAACTCCATACTGTTACTACAACATAGTCCTGTAGAAAAATTGAATACCAATGTAAAAAAATGAAAATTACAAACTTACAAATTTAGAATAATAAACTCTCTGTTATTTGATAAATTCTATATTAACTTGTAGTTATTTTACATTATATGCTAATTTTAAATACCAAATTATACACAGATGTTATTAGAAACATGGATATATTCTTCATTATATGTCAATTTTAAATACCAAGTCATATATGGCTGTTATAAGAAACATGAGAGTCTGTTATTTGTTGAATGCTATATTAACCTGTATTTATCAGTGTTAAATATCACACCATATATAGTTGCTGTTAGAAATATGAGAATCTCTGCCATTATAAAAAACATATATTAACCTTTATTTTATTACTATGTGTGAGCATCATATGGTGTGATATTTAACACTGATAAATACAGGTTATTATAGGATTCAACAAGTAACAGACTCTCGTGTATCATACAATTTGGTAGCTCTAGTTGCTGTTAGAAATATGAGAATCTCTGCCATTATAAAAAACATATATTAACCTTTATTTTATTACTATGTGTGAGCACGAGCTACCAGATCACATATAATATTTGTGTCACAGCTTATGCCAACATTGCCTCCACCATCATAAGTGGAGAAGAGACAACCAAATCACATTATCTGAGTGCTACTGGAGAAAATTCAAATGATTTGGGATAATTTAATAGTGCTGATTTTAAAAATGTAGTCAGAATTTTGTCCATCACCTCTAGATTTTGAGTTATTGTAACATCTCAATACTTTATCAGCACTATTTGAAATGCTATGCAATCATCTCATTACAATAAATTTATGCTGTGAAATTTAGTTTACATGGACAGTTTAATGGATAAAAAGCATACATTTTTGAGAACAAACATTAACTGTATTGCATTGGTGTTAGAACAATTGGTTGTTAACAACTGTTTAGTATAAAATTTGGTTGGTAATGATTATGGAAAAGAAATGCCATAGAAAACTACTGTATGCATTGGTCCACCAAACAAAGTTATGAAAAGTGTTTGGAATTGGGTCACTGAATAAAGCCGTGAAGAAACTCAGGGCAAGGGGACATGTGCTTAATTGGAAAATACATTCCAAGCCTGTCTAGGGTGTGCTACCAATATATCAATGGATATCTCAAACCACATTCAGGGAGGAGTTCAGAATTAAGGTGATAATGAAAGAAAAACACTAAACATTAGCCCTAAGATCAGCAGTGTATGGAAAGAAACATATCCAGGGCAGGAGCCAAGTGGCCTGGATTCTAGGCATATGAGAAGTACGTGCCAAACTCTTAAGAAAACAGAGGAAGAAAATATATGAGCTGACAACATGTTCCAATGCTGATGCAAAGCCTTATTGGTATGTGAGGAATAATCAATTAGAAACAATGAACAGGAGTTATGAAATTGGTTCATTTTAGTTTGTGAACATCCAATTAAAGGACAAGAAACATGTGCTGTGAGGTTAGGTTTTTGATTACACCTAAAACACCACCAACAACCAATTAATTAAGTATAAGAAACCATGGAGAGAGCCAAACAAGTGACAACCTGGAAACCGACAGAGTCAGCTGGACAACAAAACAGCCAAATGCACAATGGAGAAGATAGCCTTCAGTGAATCCTCTGAGAAGATTTTCACCACTCGAGCTTCATGCAAGTTTAAATGCCTTCTCTACTTCATCTAGTAACGTATATAGCATACAGTATATCATGACAGAAGGTCAAGTAGGAGTTAAGCTACTTAATGAGTTATTGATTATCACAAAAATGTTAATAAGTATAGTAGAAGAATTGTTCACGAGATGCCTAAGTGTTAGAGACAGCAATGTGAATGTAAACTGCCGGAATTTGTTCAATTAAATATATGTTTCATGTTACCTGTTCTTCGAGTTGTTTCTTTGTTTTTGACATAAATTTCCTTGAGTTTTAAAATCACCAGAGGAAGTCAGTGCCAGCCCAAAATGTTGCAAATATTAAAACATATATTTCGCATTAGCCAGTTTTCGTGGTGTAAGTTTTTTTTCCCAATTTTTGTTTTTGGAGTGATACTAGAGAAAAGCAAGATATATTTTTCAATTATTAAAGAAAAAGGTTATTGCAGATATTTTCTTGTTCATTATTTCTAGTTTCACGTTATTTGAGAAGCATCTAATATCGTTCTTTTGTGGAATCTTACAAATTGGTTTTGTTCTTCTGGTTCATTTTTCATAATTCATTATTATTAGTATTATTTCATGTTACAGCGATTTGATGTTATGAACATTGCTTCATTGAATATTTGTTTTTGAGTTTGAGATATTTAATTACAAAGTCCTAGCCAGGTAATACTTGTTATTAATAGTTAACATTTGGTAAAACTCCTATTGCATTTAATAAATTTGCAGTTTATCTTACCCTGGTTGTAATGTGATTGTGACATGTTGCCCTGATAATGTGGTAGCTTTATAAATTACAGCATTTACCAGTAGGAACTGACTAAATCCATACTTCCATAATGAACATATATAGAAGTCATTATAGTGACAAAGTTAGAGTTGTTTATACAAATTAACTGGTCTAAAGTATTAACTAAACAATATCTTCACATTTTATCAATGTATAAGGATTTTACTTTCATCATTTTATATACAGTTTGAAAGGTTTTCACAGACTGTTATGAATGAGTATTTTTTTGGCATAATATTTTATTAAAAAAACAGTCAATATCATAGTTAAAAAACATGAAAATTTAATATTTTGATAATCACAACATTTACAACTTACCCGCCTTCAAAAGTTAAACTGAAATCTGCATCATCATCATCATCTGCACCAAGTCCTCCCAATGAAAGCATTATGATGTTTAGTTTGTAGGTCTTACTTGTTGAAATTAGTTTCTGTTTTAGAAAAATTATTGAAGTATAATAAAACATATTTATATGAATTCCTAGTTAAAACTTAAGCTTAATGACTGATACTGTCAAATTTTTTGTGCTTTTTAAAATTATTAATGGCAAAAAATGGAAAAAACACCCAAAGCTAACCATAAACAATAGTACTGGCTATTTGTACTTGATCACAATTTCCCCAAAGTTTCTATAATTATTATGGCACATCTGTACAATAAAATTCTGTGTATTTGTGTGTCACATAACTCATAAACTACTGGCCACACTGACTTATAAGTGGTACCAAATAAATCTTCTTGGTCCCAAGGTTTGCACGTAGGTAAAATATTTCACTCCACTCTGAGAAACCTGGGGATTTCCCCAAAACACCTTCTCCTAAACTGCTGGATTCACCAACTTCTAAGTGGTGCCAAACAAATCACCTTGGCCTTGAGGTTTGCACAAAAATAAAACTTTTCACCAACTCCCTTAGGGAACCCGGTTATTATGTAAAAATACTTTTATGGGGATTCCACAAAAGTGGACCCCAAATTTGGCACTGATTTACATTGGAACACATAAATAAGTAGTCCTATTAGCATTCATAACTTGGTTAAGGAAACTAAATTTGCATTATACTATAATTTATAGCAGCAATGATCATTAAACTTAAAATGTGCGAAATAGTATTCAACGTATTAAACTTTCATTATAATGGCTCTGTAAATGTGTACCATAGGCTCATGGATTCATTGGTGAATATGATATTGGTTAAGCATAACCTAAAACTAGTGCTATAAGTTTTGCTAATTTGTATCAGTGCCCTCACGGTATACACTATAATAATAGAATACAGTATGTGCTACCGTGTAGTACAAACATGAAAGTTCCAGATAAATTTGTAATGCATTTAAACATAAGTAAAAGATTTGCAAGTTACAACACAACTGGTTAATTATGGTATGAACTGGCTCACGACATATTAACCACTTAAGTAGTAGAGAACTACAACAGTTACAAAACACTTATATTTAATTTTTAAAATATATTATATTTACCCAAGTTACAGAAGGCTCGTTTGGATTAAAATTTGTTTGGTTTTCCTTTGCTCTTAAAAATTTTCACTGTAAGCATCTGTATTTGTATTTATTACTACTTTTTACTAGCGTTAAAAACACTATTAATATTATTACGCCTCCATGACAGAGCGGAAGTCACCTGATATAAAAAGCAATCATTTTCACAGATCTGTATATATACAAACAGTGATCATTTAACATACATTTTTAACTTCGAATCTTAACACTTTTTAAAAAATATGAAATTATATTTAGCTATAGTGATGGAAAAATATGTATTTGTTGATTTTCATTATACTAAAAAGAAAAATTAAAATTATTCTGCATAAAAATTATTAATAATTATAATCCAATCACCTTCGATAACTATGAGTGTTATCAATATAATAAACACCAAAGTACTGTTACGTATCTGCTCGTTTGATAATTTCCGGTATAAATTCTTTCTGAGGAATTTCAGCCATACAAGTCTTTTCTTAATTAAAACTAGTTTATTCTTTCTCGTTACAAATTTGTAATACACAAAATTTCCACAGTCACTTTAAACTTAACAACCTTTATAACAAACGCTATAAATCACAACGATTCACACACTTTCCTTACGGTGCCTACTGTTCGCTTGACTCAATTATCTATCTATCTGTCTATCTACATATCTATCTCTTTGATCCATCTATATCTCTTCAATCGCGCTGGTTTTTCTTGCCAGGCTAATATACGAAAAAAAGGGGGCACCTAGAACACACTAGAGTTGACTGGAAAATTCATGATCCTTCGAGAAACTCCAGTGCTCATGCTCCCAGCGTCGCGTGACTGCCGCTGTCGTAACAGTACTAAATCACGATGCTCAACGCTACTACTGTGCTTAATAATTTCAAGATGATTTAAGGAATGAAAAGTTAGTTCGCTGTAAAACAATATTTATATTAAATAACTTGTGAGATAGCGAATTCTAGTTTTATTTTGTTATGGTTTTGTTTACCACTCATTTATTATTCTTTCTATCATTTAATTTAACAATGAATTTTGAGATATTAAAGCACTAAATCACCTTCTAGCTAGAGTAAGTTGAATTTGAGTATGTTTGTATTATGATACTGATACAAGTTTACCCTAGCGGTGACGTACAAATATTAATGTTATGAAAAATTATTGTTACGTCTCTGGTCGTTAGTTAATTTCCCGTTGTTGCGTCAGCGAGGTCACG